GCCTCTGGACCAATTCATCGCCTCTGGCCCATTTTCACCGCCTCTGGACCAATTCATAGCCTCTGGTCCATTTTCATCGCCTCATTTTCATCGCCTCTGGACCAATTCATCGCCTCTGGCCCATTTTCACCGCCTCTGGACCAATTCATCGCCTCTGGCCCATTTTCACCGCCTCTGGACCAATTCATAGCCTCTGGTCCATTTTCATCGCCTCTGGACCAATTCATATCAAAAAAATTCAAACTAAATCAGCTTAGGCATTGTTTGGAAAAAAAATAAGTTAGCTTATTTGTTGGGTACATGTTTAGGTGAAAATAAGCTAGTTTGTTGATAAACTAATTGGAGTAGCTTTATATGAGCCTATTGTCATTTTCTTCAATTATAACTTTGATTAATGTTAATTGTTATTTATTACTCTTAATTAAAAATAAATATTAATTATTCATAAAATATTAATAAAAAATAAATTATGACTAATACTATAAATATTAAATTTAGTTATTAACTTAATTTTAATGATACATTTATATTAATTATTTATAATTATTAGAGTAAATTAGATTTTTGGTCCATGTGTTTTATGTGTTTTAACACTCTGAATCCCTATTTTCAAAATCTATGGATTACATCCTTGTGGTTTGCATTTCATAATACATTGAATCCCTGAATTTAACTCTGTTAAAAAAATATTCGTTAACTCAAGGGTATTTTTGTCCTTTTATCTTTTTCACACTATGGCCACATGTTCTTTCGTTCACTACCTCTTCCTTTCTTCTCCGATGAGTTATAGAGAAATCGTCATTGGAGTTTTACCAAAGAAGCATCATTCCTATCACTGAAGTTCACTCGAAAAATTATCCCTTTATTGCTAGAGAAAGGATAGGCCCTGTGTTCGTCAGACAAGGTTGTATTCGCCGGAGATGGGGGTCATAAAGTCAATGTGTCCCTCTCATTAACTCACTTTAACATTAAAAAGTCAAATCAAAAGAAAAATAAAAAAAACTTAAAATCGTAGTAGATGATTTTATTTAGGACCCCGATCACTATAATGGGATGTGTTTATTTATTTATCTCATTGACGTTCTTCATATTGAGTAGTTAGTTACTTGTGTATCACGGCTAAATCTATATCATATAAACCCCACAAAGCAAAAAGGAAATTAGAAAATCTGAACTTTCTAAAATGAGAAATAAGTAAAAAAAATAATAACTGTAAAATACAAATAAAGATAGTCCGTGAAAATAAAGATCCTAGAAAATACCTCAAAATGCAGGATTATTCCTCATATTATCCTTCTTCCTGATTTGCGTGACCTCGTGAATGTATTCCAAAACAATAAAGATGAAGTCTTTCACTCCATCTATAAGACTAGTTTTTCTAGTAATATGTGATGGTTTTATAACCAATTACCAACAGTTAATAATGGTATAATGTGTATTAAATAAAGAAATCACATTTTTAATGTATTTAGTGAATATATGATTATGCATTTTTAATATGATAAAAGTGTAAAATGAAAAAATGAACATGTATGGATATAAATTAAATTAATTCGTATATATTCATGATATTGAATAGGATTATTAAATCCAAAAATTCAATATTGGGCTCAATTCGAAGGTACTGAAGAGACGATTATAATGATGTAATTTGTAGAAGAAAAACAGTTTTTAAATGCATTTTAGTTCATTTACAATTATTCATGTTAATATGATGAAGATGTAAAATGAAAAATGAAAAAGTAAGTGATATAATCTAAATCAAATGACTAAGGATACAAAATGTAATTTTGAAATTGAAAATGATTTGAGTGGAGAAGGTTGTAAGCAATAAGAGCTTGCATAATATCTTTAATATATTGTACCTCTTAAAAATCCAAGATAATTGTAACTCGTTTTTTTTTTTAATATAGAACAGATTATAATTGATAAGTAGATCTGTAATTTTATAAATATTTATAATTATAACTATAAGTATTTATTTCTTTCCTTTCCTTCCTTTTCCTCTCGCATCTCGTAGCAAAGTTTTGGGAGGAAAATCAACAATATTATTCTTCCTTTTCCCTCCTTAAGAAATACTCGAGAACACAACATTTTTTTTTCTTTCCCCTATTTTCCTTCCCTTTCTCTCCGTTTTCTTCGTAAAAAGTGACTCGAGAACACAACGTTTGGAGGAAATTTTTGGAATGAAACATATCATTATTTTTCTTCCGGTCTCTCCTAAAAATGTTTCGGGAACACGAGTATTTTTTTACTTTCCTCCTCTTTGCCTCCCTTCCCTTTCGTTTAAGGTTTCGAGAACACAACTTACCGGTTGAGCATGCCAAATACCGGGAATCTTACCGATAAGTAGGGCTGTAAACGAACCGAACGAACACGAACGGAGGCTTGTTCGTGTTCGTTCGTTTAACTTAACCGAACAAACGAACGAACACGAACGGTAAACGAACGAAAATAATTGTGTTCGTGTTCGTTCGTTTAGAAATACGATGTGTTCGTGTTCGTTTATGTTCGTTCGTTAACAAGCTAAACGAACGTAAACGAACGAACATAAACGAACAGTCTTAACGAACATAAACGAACATGCCTAAACGAACATAAACGAACAGCCTAACAAACATAAACGAACATAAACGAACATGCCTAAACGAACATGTTTTAAAACCCTACAAAAAGCCCAAATATTAAAAAGCCTAAACTCTTTTAAAAGCCCAATAAATAAAAATGTTTTAAAATTTAAATTCAAACTAAATAAATAAAAATTATATATTAAAATTAATAAATAAACGAACATAAACGAACGAACGTTAACGAACATAAATGAACGCACGTTCACGAACGTAAATGAACGAACGAGACTCTTGTTCATGTTCGTTTGTTTAACTAAACGAACGAAAAAATTTGTTCATGTTCGTTCATTTATTAAATAAACGAACATAAACGAACTTCCCGCCGAACGGTTCACGAACGGTTCGCTGAACGTTCGGTTCGTTTACAGCCCTACCGATAAGAGGCATAATATTGACTGGAAGTAACCACAAGGTGGTGCCTGATTGGTTTGAGCTTGGCTCCAAAGGTCAAAAGTACCAGAAGGTCTCATGTTCAAATCCAAGGAGAAATAAAAATTTCCTTGTGGTCACGGAGGTTCAAATGCGGTAACGCCGGACTATCTGCAAAGCAGGTGGTCGCCCTGGGATTAGTCGGCTCGCATAGCGGGTTAGATATCCAGGTTAATCAAAAAAAAATATTGACCGGAAGTTTTTATCAGGTAAGCAAGGAAGAAAACTCTGACCCGGTTAAGGTCTAATAGGTAAAAATACTTACCAGCAATCCATTTTAATAGTCGAAAATATTATCCAATCAGATATATAAAAATGGTGATTCTTAACGATAAACGCAGATCTAGTCATCATTTGATAAACCACGCTAAAATATCTTTGATCAATGAATAAAAAAAAAACGTGGTGAATAAAATCAATAGTGTTTGAAAATATCTTTTGTTAAGATAAAAGATTTTTTCAGACAAAAAATGGTACGGATGATTAGACGAACCCAATAAGATGGATTGTCTTAATGAGAAATAACAAGCTCAAACCTTCACACAAAAATCCATGGCTTATCCAACCTTCTTTCTCTTACTTTCTTTCCTTTTAACATGCATCTATGCCTTCACCGTCTTCAGCCGCCGCAACTCGCGGCTTCCGCCGGGACCTGACCCACTTCCGATCATCGGAAACCTCTTACAACTCGGTGACAAACCCCATCAATCTCTCGCCATATTGTCTAAACGCTACGGTCCTTTAATGTCGTTGAAGCTCGGATGCATAACAACGATAGTTGTTTCATCACCCGATATCGTCAAAGAATTCTTTCACACACATGATGTAACGTTTTCTAGCCGATCCGTTCCTCACACCGCCGCGATGGTTGACCACCATAAGTACTCCATAGCATGGCTGCCGGTCGGAGATCAGTGGCGAAGACTACGAAGAGTTACTAAAGAATGCTTCTACTCCGTACAACGTCTGGAAGCGACCGAGCTCGTACTAGGAAAGAAGGTAATAGTTTTATAAGAACGTTGAAAACAACTATTCTATAATTTTGTCAAAGACCTTCCATCCTAGTGGTAAAGGCTTGGGCATGACATAGTCATGAACCCAAGTTCGAGCCCTGGGAGGAGAGTGTTGGCGACATTTAAGTGGGGCCATGTTTAGCCTCCAAAATTGCCGGGGATTAGTCGGGCGTTGGCCCGGACACCCTTAAAAAAAACAAAAAAAAACTATTCTATAATTTTTCTAAAATAAAGTATTAAAAACCAAAATATTTAACAATTATTATATTTTAAAAATATTTTATGAATTTATCAATCATATAAGTAATTACACAAAATTTAATATTTTATTATTTCTTCCATCCCAAAGTAAATGTCTAAAATGAAAAAGACATACTGATTAGAGAGTGTGTAATTATTACACTTTTTAATTAATGAAATGACCATTTTGCCCTTGATTATTTATTTTAAATTCAGTGATTAAGTATCTTTTTGGATAAGGATAAAGTACAAAATATTCAATCATATAAGACTAGAACTCATTGTTTATCTTATATCTGAAGTGTTTATCAATTATAGGATCTACTTAATATTTAAAACAATAAAATTGAACCATAAGGGTGGTGTCTGATTGGTTTGAGCTTGGCTTTAAAGGTTAAAAGTGTCGGGAGGTCCGAGGTCCGAATCCAAGGAGGAACAAAAATCCCCTTGTGGCCATGGAGGTTCAAATGCGGTGACTCTGGGCTACCTGTAAAGCAGATGGTTGTCCTATGATTAGTCGGCTTGCAAAACGGGTTGGATATCCAGGTTAATAAAAAAAACAATAAAGTTGATGGTCCCCTTTTCACCTAAGGGTTCGTTTGGTTTGTATGATTGTTTTTTTAAGGATTTAGATTGAAATGAATTTGAAATCATTGGTGTATTTGATTTATAGGATTGGAATAGAATTGGACTCCATTATTTATAAATAATTTATAAAAAAACTATAAATAATTATAAAAATAATTAAATTATATTTTTATTAATTGATTATTATAAAACAAATATTTTTAACATTTTTTAAAAAACCTTATTTCATACAATCCTATGAAATCCCGAGCATCCCCTACGAATTTTAAATCCAGACAATCAAACAAACCAAACATAAAAAGTAGAATGAATTTGAAATCCAAATCCTCCCAAATCTATTTCATTTCTTATCTACCTCTAACTATAAATTATGAATAAAATAAAACCGTTTTAATTTTAGAATAATAATAATAATGAAGAAACATCTCCTCGTCATTTAGTTTCGAGGAAATTTTTAGTTTTTTTTTACCGATTAGACTTTTTCGGTTTTTTTTATTGATTTCAAGAGTTCTTTTGGTTTTTTGGTTAATTATGAAATACAGTTGCATCTAGAGGTGCTCATGGCCCGGGTTGATCGGTTTGGAGCCGTTTTAACAACTCAACCCAACCCAATGTTAACGGTTTGAAAATTTTCAACCCAACCCATTCGGGTTGATCGGGTTGTGTATAAACAATGTAAAATCACATAAAAATAAAGGAAATTTTTCTTTGAAATACGACCGAACATTCAAGATAATATGCAAGTTCATCAAATATTTAGATATTACAATAAAAATGTTTAAACCAAATGATAATACATCAATCAACAACAATAGTTTTAGACGTTTCCAACCTCGATACTTTCGTTTTCTTGACGTTGAGGTTGGTCATGTCATGATTGTCATCTACAATTCAAAGCTAAAGTTAAGGTCGGGTTCATCGGGTTGTCGGGTTGGTCGGGTTTTTTTGGGTCTGACCCGATTCCAACCCAATAAGGTCAGGTTGGCTAATTTTTTTTATCGATCATGCATCGGGTTACCTCGGGTTGGTTTTTTTTTTTTTAAATTCGGGTTGGGTTGGTCGGGTTCATCGGGTTTTTGAGCACCCTTAGTTGCATCTTCTTGAACTTTTGAATATCATATTGTGACACCTTTTAAAAAAAATTATTTTTCGACAGAGATGCACTACTATGAGTGTTTAAAAACACAAAATAAACAATTCACTAGCTAAACTTAATATAAAATATTAATTAATATACTAACTATATTAATATTTTATATCAATATAAATAATTATAAAATGAATAAATATATATGATATAAATATTTTATCAATATAAAGTATAAATATGGGAACAATAAGGGTTGTAAACCTAACTTTTATTGTAAATCGGATGATAAACGAGAATCTGTAACGTGTCTGAGATATTCATGGATGTTGATCATGAATGTTGTAAAAAATTAATGTTTATTATTCATGATGAATGGAAACTATAAAAGATACATGCCATGCTCTCGTTTATTCACTACGGAGGATAGGCTCCAACTAAACTTTCACACACACACATATATATATATATAGAGAGAGAGAGAGAGAGAGAAGGATGTTCTATTAGGACCCAAAATTGAGGAACCCAAGAACTGCCACAACACATCGCATGACCTTTTTGAGGATGAATATTCATAATCACATATTCATGATCAATATGCTAAATATTCATGATAAATAACAGGTCCATATTCGTGGTGAATATGCCACGGATCATGTTGTGGATGGTTCCCAAATTCCTAATCAATTTTAGGTTCTTAACAAACCTGCCTATAATTTATAATATATATATATAGATATATATATATATATATATATATATATATATATATCATATTGAACAAGTATATGATCCATTTAACATCTTTTTTTTCACTTGTAGGTACAAGAACTTATTGAGCATGTTAATCAATGTTGTACACATGAAAAGCCAATAAATATAGGCGTAATTGTTTTTACGACAACATTCAACATTATCTCCAACTTCTTGTTCTCTTTGGATTTCGCTCAATATGATTCTGTCTCGTCACAAGAATTCAAGGATGCAATACGCGGTTTGATGGAAGTTTCTGGGAAGCCTGATCTAGCCGATTTTTTCCCAATGCTTAAATTGTTTGATCCACAAGGGTTATTACGACGTGCAAATGTTTATAGTAAGAAGATGATGACTATTTTTGATGAAATCATTGATCAACGGTTTCATACAAGATCAAGTTCGTCATCATGTGTCGGTGCTTCATCGAGAAAGAATGATGTTTTGGACTCATTGCTCGACATCAACCTAAAGGACGAATCGGGGTCATTTAATCTAAATGACATGAAACACTGGTTTTTGGTAAGTACATACATCAACTGAAAAGGTCTCATCATATAGCGTATGGTATCATTTTAAACCATTGAACCATAAATATATTAAACCGACTCGTTTTAAATTATTAATAAAAAGATAGATTTAATTTAATGCGACATAGACTAATTTTTTGGTAATAAGAGTGATCGGTCCCATTTCGTAAATTTTTGTAGGATTTATTTGTTGCGGGAACTGATACGACAGCAACCACATTGGAGTGGGCAATGGCAGAGCTTATTCGCAACCCAGAGATAATGAAAAAGGCTCAACTAGAGTTAACTAAACACATGCAAAGCAACAACAGGAATATGCAGGAATCAGATATCACTCGACTCCCTTACCTACAAGCCGTTATAAAAGAAACTCTCAGGTTGCATCCACCCGCCCCTTTTCTTGTTCCTCACGAAGCCGTACACGACGTAGATATCCAAGGTTTCATGGTTCCTAAAAATGCAAAGATTCTTTGTAATATTTGGGCAATGGGGCGACACTCAGACGTTTGGTCTAACCCAGAAATGTTCATGCCGGAGAGATTTTTGGAAGTCGGGATCGACTACAAAGGCCATGATTTCGAGTTCATTCCGTTTGGTACTGGGAGGAGGAGTTGTCCCGGAATGAATTTTGCGCATAAAATGTTGCATATGATTATAGGCTCTTTGATTTACAGGTTTGATTGGAAGCTTGAGGGGAATACTAGTATAGTAGATATGGACATGGAGGAGAAGTTTGGACTCACATTGCCCAAAAGTGTACCACTCATGGCCATTCCAATCAAACTTCAATTGGTTTAGATCATTGTACATGTTTTTAAAATAAAAATTGAATAATATTTGTCTTGGTGACATATTTGTAATTATATATAATGTTTGTAAGGGACATACTTTCTTTAGGTCTGCATAACCTGTCTAGTATATACAAAATATTTCATTCCTTTTATATATATATATATATATATATATATATATATATATATACATATATATATATATATACAAACACACACACATACTAGTGGTGTACCCACGCTTCGTATCACAATTCTGAAAGATTAATTTAGCCTTGAATCATGAGTTTGTGTGGTTATTTTGCAAGTCAACTAACATATAAAGTTGAAGGTTAATATGATGTATTAGCAAGATCGAATGGAAAAATAGTTGCACACATATTGGGTTTTTAAACCCATATACTCAGAAGATTTTTCCCAGAGCCGTCCCTGGGGGAGGGCGGGCCGGGCGTATGTCCAGGGCACATAAAAATTAGGGGCCTAAATTTTTTTAATATATATAATAGTAGTTCAAAAAAATTAGTAAGAAGACACATAAAAATTAGTATTTAATATGACAAGAAAAGATTTTGGTACTATATTAACTATTAAAGACCCAAACATGTATGAATTAAACATATATTGGAGAAAAAAATACATAAAGAGGTTAATATGTCGTTTATTATATAATATTATTTAATGTTTTTCTAAGTTTTTTTTTTATCTAAAACCGATGTCTAAAACTAATTGCTTCGGAAACTTTGATATATTCTCCATAATTTATCTCTCATCGACTCATTTGATTGTTTCATTTTCGCGTGAATTCTATTTTTATATTAGAAAATAATATATTTTTTTGTTATTAGCTTACAAACCCCCTATCTTTTGAAAAAAAAATATCAACCATATAAGACAGTACAACTTATATCTATATTTAGAATAATAAAACTATAATTGTTTTTTCATAGTTGTTCTTTATTATCTAATACTGAGTGTATAAATCTTATGTACTATTCTATCTTTAAAAGAAAAATAAGATCTCAAACTTTCACCAACATAAGTTTTTTAATTTACTATGTTCTTGAGTCTTCTTTTATGTAAGAAAGAGAAAAAGTAATGAGAGAAGAAAAATATTTTGTTCTCGTTATTTTTTTAGGGAAAGGAAAAAAAATTATATTAAAATTTATTTTTATTTCATTATTTTTCCTTCCTCTCTCTTCTTTATTAAAAACATAAATAAAAAACTTTATTTTTCCTCCTTTCTTTTATTTTCTTTTCCTTTCTCATTTTTTTGTTTCATTTCCAAATTCGAAAACATAATATAAAAGTTTAAAAATGGTGTTAATCTTCCCAAATTCGAAAATATAATAAAAGTTCAAAATGGTGTTAATCTTCCCAAATTCGAAACATAATATAAAAGTTTAAAATAGTATTAATTTTCTCAAATTCAAAAACATAATATAAAAGTTTAAAATGATGTTAAAAAACATTAACATGAGATGACATGGAAAACCAACCTATTTACATTGATTTACATAGCGTCATTCGGAAATCAGAAAAATCAACTTTGTGACCCCAAATGATGTCATTCTATGTACCAAAAGTATATCATAGGATGTTTTTGATAATGAAACAAATTACCGATACTACATAAAAATGTTCTACTAGATAATATTAATATAGAAATGAGTATTGATTGATTTTGCGTTTAGGAATACTCGAAAAACCGGTTTTATATGAATTCAATGTTATTTCTGATGATAAAAACAATATATTGAAAAAATATCGTACTTATCGAGGGCCCCTTTTTACATCTCGTCCAGGGCCTAAAAAATGTCAAGAACGGGTCTGACTTTTCCCACCACTTAATTCACGGCTAAAGTCATGGGGACCTCTATTTTATCAGTTTTTCACCGATTAAGTTGTAATGGGGACCTCTATTTGTCTTGATGGTTCGATTTTGTTTGTAATGAAAGTTTTTCACATTTACATAACGGTTGGGCATATGTTCACCAAGTAGATATTCAACTTTAATCGAATACATACATATAATACATAACTTTAATGTACAACCGGAGACTATCAAACTATTAATGAATATATCGAGCTTGTACACGCTTATAGAAAAAAAAAAAACAGACTTTGTATGGTTTATTACATTCATGTGCATCCATCGAAATCGTCAATTAGACATGAAGAAGAAAACGTAACTTGTTTCTTTGCCATCCAAGTTTATTCGACATTCATTTGTTGGTAAATGTCACGTCATTATCGTTGTTTTCGATTAAAGTTTGTAAATTTATCGTTAGAGACCGTGTGTCACAAACCCCACAAACCCCCCATCTGAAAAGTAATACCTTACAAGTATTTATACAAAAGAAAGAAAAAAAAACAAATGTTCGGCTTAAAAACAAGAAGGATACGTCGTTGAGCATCTAAGCAGCCGTAAATAATTGAAATAGAAGTTGAATTACGTGTATAACGAAAGTACGATGATTAAAATTGGTTAACTATACGATTGTTTAAGCTTATACCAACAATAACTAAACACAATTTTATGTTAGTTTGTCTCGAAGTATGCGTTCACTTTTGAAAGAAAATGTTCACTTTCCGGTTATACCCTTAACTATGAGATTGAGAAAACTTTATTTGTCTATTATTAAGAGTAAAATTGTCATTTGGTTAATAAAATAAGTGTAATAATTACATATTTCTACATCTGTGTGCTTTTTTTGTTGGGGACCTTTATTTTAGGACGGAAGTAGTACTATTTGGTGCATGATTTTCATCAACTAGTGCATGTGGATTGAGTGGCGGATCTAGAAACTTCTATGACCAGGGAACATTTACAGGTGTCAAAATATTACGAAACCGAATAACTCATATGAACCAAGTCGGTTTCAAGTTATTCGGGTTTTGGCTTAAACGGTTCAGTTAGCCGAATAAAGATAACTTATTTGGTTTGATCTTCGGTTATTTTCTTACTATTTTGGTAAACCAAATAACATATTATACTAGTATTTATATATTTTACTATTTCGGTTAAGATTAAAGCATGTAAATGGAGTAAGGGGATCGCGTATTCTGAATGAAGGGAGTGGCATGCAGCTGATGCGCGGATGATCCGTTAGAACAGTCCTGTCTGATACGTTAAAAAAAGGGGTTTGGATTACTATTCTTGAAGAAATGGGCGGACCTAGACTGATTTGTTAAAATTAATGGGCAGATGGAAAAAATATTCAGGAAGCCCATTAATATTTTCATAATAATTAACTTTTATAATTATAATTTACAAAAAAAAATTGAAAATTCTTAATACTTATCGATTCCTACTTAATTATGACTCATGATAATAAATTTTTTTTTAAAAATCTTAAATTTGAAAATATAATTATCTCAATTGATCAATTCCTTATTATCTCATTTAGTCATTTTCCTTATTGTTACTTTATATTTAGCGAAACAACGTAATCTAAAGTGTGTATATTGTTATGTATTTACGTCAAATATTAAGTTGGAAAAGTTGTTATGTATTTTGAATTATTTTACATAACTTATGATTTTATATAAGTTCTATTTTCATAAAAATATAACAACATTTTAAAGCCCGCTAGCCCGTGAGCAAAGCCCGACCCGTCAAAGATAAAAAGTCGGGGTAAAAATATTACAAATAATTTGTAAATTTAATATACAAAAAACACAGTGATTCGAAACCCGTCAAAGTTTGATCGGTATGGCCATGAGCGGTATAATTTTTTGCAACGTGATCCCAAACTTCTCCCCCATGTCGATATCTTGTGCTCTCATATCTCCTTCAAGCTTCCAATCGAACTTGTGAATCAAAGATCCCAATATAATATGTAACATTCTATGTGCAATATTCAATCCCGGGCAAATTCTCCTCCCAGTACCAAACGGAATGAGGTCAAAATCTTGGCCTTTATAGTCGATCTCAACATCCAAAAACCTCTCGGGCATGAATGTTTCTGGGTCAGACCAAATGTTTGGATCTCGCCCCATTGCCCAAACGTTACAAAGGATTTGTGCATTTTTAGGAACGACAAAGCCATGGACTTCTACGTCATGTATGGCCTCGTGAGGGACAAGAAAAGGGACCGGAGGATGCAATCGAAAAGTTTCTTTTATAACAGCTCTTAAATAAGGAAGTTGAGTGATATCTCGTTCTTCTAGACTCCTTTTGTCGTATTGCATGAGTTTAACAAGCTCTGATCGTGCAGTTGCCATTTTATCTGGGTTACGAATGAGTTCAGTCATCGCCCATTCTACAGTGCTCGATGTTGTGTCAGTTCCCGCAACAAATAAATCCTACAATAATTTATGAAATATTTTATATCAACAAATCTTATAAATAAAAAATCTTAACGTTGGTACTTTTAAGTGATATAATTTTAATAATTAAACAACCAAAATAATTTTATTGATATTAAACATCATGTTTAAGTCAATTTTTATGTTAATCAAATCAAATCAATGGACTTCAATTTTTTTTGAGTCGATATTGAACTCTAAGGGGTCGTTTGTTTACCACTTAATAGTTCCATTATAAGGCAACCTCTGAATCGTTAAGAGGTGAATCTTGTTTGGCAAAAAAAAAWCTGCCWCTTAATGGTTCTAAAACCCTCTGAATGATTTTGTATCCTGGATCTCCCTTAATCATTAAGAGCCCTAATTTCATTGTACACAATTACCAAACAATTATATTTCATTTGCACTATATCATGAGAGCCTCTTAATCATTCTGACTACTTAATCATTTTGCATCAAACCATTCAGCAATTGCTAAACAGCCCCTAAGAGTATTATCTCAAAAAGTTACTTTGACTAACAATCAAAAATGTAATTAATAAGCCGATACTTACCACAAAGAAATGTCCCAAGAGATCTTGACTAAATTCGGATTCATTCTTGTGCTTAAGGTTGAGCAACACGTCCAAAACATCATTGTCTGTAGATAAAACACCATCGTATGATGACGAACTCAATTTGGTTTGCAAACGTTGATCTATGAGCTTACTGAAAATAGCCAGTAATTTCTTCATATGAACGCTTCCATCTCGTACGATGCCTTGTGGATCCAATGGTTTAAGTATTGGAAAAAAGTCTGCTAGATTTGCCTTCCCGGAATATTCCATCAAAGCCCATACCGTATCCTTGAATTCTTGTGATGACACAGAATCGTATTGAGAGAAATCCAAAGAGAAAATGAAGGTGGAGAAGATATTAAGAATTGTGGTAAACGTAGCTGCACCTATGTTAACTGCCTTTTCATCTGTAGAACATCGATTGACATGGTCAAGAAGTTCCCGTACCTAGACGTGCAACCACATGTTAATTAATCGGATGAGATGCTTCTTTTAGAAATGCATTAATGTACTATACATCTAAATTTGTATCCATATCTGATGGATAATCAATTCAACAAGCGGAATTTGCATTTGTGACAGATTAAACATGTTAGAATAAATCTTTTCCGTTTCTTTAAATTCAAATATCTGAATTTGACAATGAATACATACGTATAAATACATGTATATGTATAAAGTAATTATAGAGGTGGTTTCATTTACAAACCCAACCATTAGTATGAACTACACGAACCAATCTCAATCCTCCAACTAGTTTAATGAGTATCAAATTCAGTGAATATCTCGATCATTTTCTAATATAAAACATTGATCATAATAGAAGTATGATAATCTTCAATAAATATTCGGATTATAACAAATAAACTCTCATTGTTTTTATAAATATCTCAATTAATTAGTTTGCAGGGTTTGTACAAATGGTTGGGTTTGTAAATGGAACTACCCCTCTCTCTCTCTCTCTGCGTGTGTGTGTGTATATATATATATATATATCAACAACCATCTTCTGAAAACTCTTTAAATTGTGAGATCTGTAAGAACTAGTGCATCATGTGCTATTTTATATGATTTTTTCCATCTATATCTACAATGTAATGTAGTGGTCAACATATATTTACATTATAACATTTTCTTTCACACGTCACGATATGAACCTTTTTGGCGTGTTTGTGAAACAAAAAATAAATGCAAAAAAGTTTCACATTATGAACCGAATACATATAAAACAAGCACATTTTAAAACAAATATGTGCTAATCAATACATTATACTTAAATGAAAAAAAAAAATCATATGAAACAAAACCTACAAATGAAAAATTTATGAATTTCATAAATTTTAAAATTCTCAAATAAATAATATTTATTACTTTTTTCCTTCCATTATATGTAACAAGTTTTATTTTTAAATGTCATTTTAGGCTAAAATTTAGAGAAAATGATGATTTTCACTCATAAATAAAATAATTATGTGTAATTCGGTTAGAAATGTTTTCCATCACCCCTAGTTACAAAGACGTATGTTATAATCACAAAGGTGGTGTTTGATTGGTTTGAACTTAGCTCCAAAGGTCAAAAGTACCAGGAGGTCCCAGGTTCAAATCCAAGGAGGAATAAAAATCCTCTTGTGGCCAATGGAGGTTCAAATGCTGTGACTCCGGGCTATCTGCAAATGCAAAGTAGGTGGTCGTCTTGGGATTAGTCGGCTCGCATAACGGGTTGGATATCCAGGTTAATAAAAAAGAGACGTATGTTATGAAATTTATTCTTAATGTGATTCAGATAGATACAAATAATATTATATATACAAATATTATAGAGGCAAACCGTAGTTTTAAATATATAGTTGTTATCCGATTCATACCTTCTCTTGACGTAGGAGTTCACTATTGTCTAGACATCGCACGGAGAACATATATTCTTTGGTTATTCTTCGTAATCTTCGCCACTGATCTCCGGCCTGCGAAAACACTAGAGAGAATTTAGCGTGGTCCACCGCTCGGATGGCCTCGGTGATAAATCGACCGGAGAACGATTGGTCATTTGTGTGAAAGAACTCTTTCGCCATATCGGGTGATGAAATGACGATGGTGGTTTTGCTTCCGAGCATGAGTGACATGAATGGACCGTAACGTTTTGAGAGTATGGCAAGAGAGTGATGGGGTTTGTTGCCAACTTGTAGTAGGTTTCCGATGATCGGAAAAGGGTAAGGTCCCGGCGGCAGCCGTGAGTTGCGGCGGCCGGAGATAGTGAGGGTATAGATGAATGCGAAAGATAAGAAGACAAAGAAAGTTGTATAATACTCCATTGAGTTTTTGTGGATGTGTGAAATTTTCTGTGATGAAGCTTCCATCTTATTATATATATATATATATATATATATATATGTATGTATATATATATATATAGAGGTTGGTTATTATACAACCCTTGTCATTTGTGCAACCAATACAACTCAATCTCAACCGTCCATTTCATTTGATTAATATGTGATTTTATAGATATTTTGATTATTTCCTAATATAATGTATTAATCATAATTAATGAACCGTATTAATTTTCCATAAATTTTTAAATCATAATAAATGAACTTTAATAATTTCCATAAATATTTTAATTTATCGGGTTGTATTGGTTGTACAAATACAATAGGTTGTATTTGAAATAAACCCTATATATATATATATATATATATATGTATGTATATATATATATATATATATATGTATGTATGTGTGTGTACACAAATAAAAATACATACTTCCTCTGCTGGGGTACTCTCACTAAAATACAACCGTTTTTATTAGCACGTTTGTTAGTGATATTTTAGCTAGTGATATTTATGATGTTTAAAAATTAACCAAAAAAAAAACAAAAAAACCATTCATTATGTTATATATGTAGAATCAATTATTTATAGTAATAACTAAATATTTTTATTAATGCACATACAATGGTGGTGTCTGATTGGTTTGAACTTGGGCTCCAAAGGTCAAAAGTGCTTGGAGGTCTCAGGTTTAAATCCAAGGAGGAATAAAAATCCCTTTGTGACCATGGAGGTTCAAATGCGGTGACTCCGGACTAACCGCAAAGCAGGTGGTCGTCCTATGATTAGTCGACTTATATAGCGGATTAGTTATCCAGGTTAATAGAAAAAGGATTATATATAGAGAGAAGGAGAGAGAGAAATGTATCTACACAATCCTACACGACTCAATCTCGATTTTGATGTTGATAATTCGAACCCTTTATCCCGTTTCCTACTTTTATCGTCCTTTTATTTTTTATTTTTTCTATGGTTTTGCATCTTTTTGAGAGAGTGAAAAAAAATCGTTGGTTGATTATTGGTTTTATGAAGTATAATGGCATATTAGTAGGTAGATATGGAAATATTACCCGTAAGGGTAGGGATTATCCGCTTTGATACTATTTGAGTATCACTGTATATCATAATGGGTATCACATTGTGTATCTTTGTGATCACTTGGTACCTGCCGGATTTTGTTTACCGAAGGCCGGAGATTGGAGGTCGGAAAGATGAGAGATAAGAGAGGAGAGAAGAGTTTTTTAAAAATACCTAAAATACCCTCTAATTATAATTTTAACTCAAACTACCATAATTATTAATTTCCTAATTTATCCGTTGATTTGTGGTTGAGATAGGATCTCACAGTTACCACAAACTAATCAGTTCTCATTTGATTAAGCACCTATATATATATATATATACTAGTTGTGTACCCACGCAATGCGGCGGGAGCCATGAATTTTAATAATTTTGAAGTTCCACTGGTTTTATAAGATAAGATTTAACGATGATATAAGTTACACTTGGTCTTTGCATATTAATACAATTTAAATAAATAAGAGTTATGGCTCCAATTACAGATTATCGATGGAAAAAATTTGTATTACAGTTTAAAATCCAATATATTTGAAATCCAACATATTTAAACGACTCCACAAATGTCTTCGATTTACACCAAAAGCAAAGAACCAAGAAACTTCAGTTTTAAGATAAACACTCAAAACCAATAAAGAAAACTACAAATTTAACATATCATACGCCATGAAAAGACCAAAAAAGATGAGTTTTTTAATGATATTTCAACTGTTTACCCTCTTTTTTGTCCAAAGACTTAGATTAAAGTTGAATTAATACATGTATATATATATATATATTTCAAAAAAACCCAAGAACATATTAATTTATAACATATTATACAGTGCAATTTGGACAGCCTAACCCCAAAATATATAGTATATATATAAATAAATAACTATAAAAGTATAAATCGTAAATATTAAAAATATTTTTTACAATATATATAATAATATAATTAAGTCAAAAACTATTCAATATTGGACTCATTTCGAAGGTATTAACGAGACGATTATAATAGTGTAACTTGTTAAAATAAAAATGTATTTTTTAAACATGTTTTAATTGATAAAGGTTTAAAATGAAACATTTAAAAGTAAATTAATTAACTAATTATAGGGGTATAAAGTGTAAATTTAAAATTATAATTTTAAAAAAAATCGAGTTCAATGGGAGAGGGTGAGTGTATGAGGAGAGGAGGGGGTGAAAAAGTGAGGTAGTATAGATAAGGGTATCTTGGTTATTTAGTATTTTAAGACTTTTGTTAAATTTGCTTTATAAAATAGTATATATATATATATATATATATATATATATATATATATATATATATGTGTATATGGGAGGGATAAATGCAAAACAAATGATTAGTACAAACTGTGAAAACCATCGATTTCATTGTTTAATTTAGTGAAACTTTTTCATGAAATTATTTCATATATTTTCCTTTTTATGTAAAAATTAAATTTTCATGTATTTCTCATTTTGATGAAAATTGTTTAATAAAACTAATAGAATGAAGATGAAAATGTCCATAACTAACACCCTACATAATTAAAATAACTAATCAACCCTCATAATTAAAAAAATTAAAAAAAAATTATGATTGGTTGGATGAGATTTTCACAGTTTTTACTAATGATTTGGTTTACGTTTTATCCCTCCCCTATATATATATATATATATATATATATATATATATATATATACACACACCAGAAGAAACATGGGTTTTATCTACGACTTTTGTAGTCGTTAAAAGCCAATTTATCGTCAAAATTGTTAATAGAGATGACATGTTGTTTAACAGCTTCTTGTTGAAACACGTCGCTAAAGGCGCGTTGCTGAAACTCATTCTTCTACTAGTGATATATGTATATGTGTGTGTGTGCACGCACGCATGTGTGTATATGTGTATGTCAGTATGCGAATCATGTATGACTTTGTATGTGAATCATATATGATTTTGTACATTAACGACATTTTTTTTGTTTTTCCTTAAATAGTTAGCATTTTCGTTTGAAACTCTCCGTATATATAATTAGGTTTGTGTAGGATATTTTTAAGAACGGTAGGAAAAATCCCAAGCCCGTCGATGGAGTCATGAAACCTACATCGAGATCCGATGTCCCAAAAATACAACGTGGTTTTTTAATAATAAACCAAAACTTTGAGGGCAAAGATGTAAAAGAGCACGGAGATTGACATATACCTAACATCTCTTAAATATGTTAACATGCCTTAAACTGTCAACATTGACATAAGTTAACATGACAAACCCCGGCCTTCTTGTCAAACCCCTTTTCCCCCATCCCAAATCGATGACCACCAAACCATTGGTTTCTTGTTATACTCGACAACCTATCAACCCCTACCCTACGCCATTTCGAATCTATTTCAAACAGCGTTTCTAAACCCATTTTGAACTTCTATGTGTGTGTTTATGTCTTCTTTGTTGTACATAAATTTGAAAACCCCAAATGAAACAAGATCTATAAAGGGGTTTTCGGGTCAGAGATGGAAGTCGGCGGCGACAAGCATTTGATGGTGATAATGGGCGAACCTGAGTCGTTATATATGTTTTTCAGAGAAGAAGAAAGAGGTTATGATTTTAATGTTTGTTTGGTGATCTTCAGTCTCCAAATTTAGAATTAAGTGGCATCGAAAGTTTGATTTAACCTGCAACTTTATTTTTACAAGATCGATGTATGTTACATAACTGTGGTGGAATTTTAGTTTACGAAATATGAAGATGCATGTTAGATGGTGGTGGGGATGGGTTGCGTTAATCGGGTAAAAGAAAACCAAGAAAATGTCTAAAAAATGTAAAGATATGAAAATGTCTTTCACTTAACGACTATTTTAGCATAGTTAATCAACAGGACCATTTTCAAAGCGGAATGCAAATTGTAAATGGCCATAATCGTACTTATTGAAACACAGAGACGGTGTTCATGGTTGTGTAAACTACAGGGACCATAAATATAGTTTACGCATTATTTTATATTTTTATAATTTGGCGCAATAAGAAATGCGGAAATGATCGACAAACATCTTAATTCTCAAAAGATAACAAGTCTACAAGCGTCTAAATTCTTAAAGAATAACAACTCTAGATGCATAGAAGTCGAGAAATAAGAGATTCTTTGTGTTCATTAGTCGACATAAGTGGCGCAAGAGGCCACAAGAGGCCTTGTTTCTTATTTATGTATTCTCTTACTGTCGTAACTCTATTCATTGATTTTGTCGCTAAACTGTCCTATATCAGTCACTCTCTCCACTTCTAACTTGAAACACAGCTTCATCTAATTCCTTGGGGCTTGTACGTTTGGGATGTAACGTTAAGAGGTTTGTACGGAGCACAAAATCAATAAATTGTCGGTCAATTTGTAGGGTGCCGACATATTTAAAGTATCTTTCGAAATGAAACTGAATGTATAATACAGTGGTTGTGGATGCCGCTGCGCGAAACCGCAACTGATTATTACTTCTTTCTCTTAGGCGCCGATACCTGTCGTTGATGTTATTGGGATGGAATCTGTTGACAGCCGTTGTTACAGAATCAACAACAGGTTACTGATTTGCAATTACTGGGGAAAGGAAACATGTTCATAAAAGAATGTAATTGCCCGATATCCAAAAGTTTAATGGTTATTAAAAGACGTTTAGGACTTAATTAATTAAAATAAAAAAATTCAGTAATTTATAAAAAGAATTATTTGAGAGGTATATATCAAAATAACGTTTATTAATTTGTTCAAAATAAAAATTAAATCAAGACACGTTTTTTTATTAATGCAATTTTTATAGTTTTATTTATTTATTTAATTTAATTTAATTAAATAAGAATCAGCATCAATCATTGAAGAAATTGAATTAAATCCCACCAATAAAATAAAATAATTGAGGGTCGACGTGTTGCGCAAACGACGACCACATGAAATTT